AAATAGAAAATTAATACATTTACTTTGTTTGGTTTGAAACCAACAGGTTATCGAACCAGTTCTGAAAGTGCATCGTGCCTATAGATTCATCTCTAAGACGCCACAATGTGATCGCTATGTTTTGTGCCAATTGAATTCAGTTGAACAGAATCCACCAACAAATTTACAATCGCGTGGTCTCATTTCTGGTGTTAGTCCAAAAATAGTTAAGATTGGTAGCATGGGTGCAGCTTTCTTCATTAGCACTGAAACTGGCACACCATTCTGGACACTGTTCGGTGTCATTAATGCACCATACAATTGTGAGGTAAGTAACTTTTGTACAATGGCAAATTAAGTAATTTTGTATAATTTAAATTTTGTTCATTAATTTGCATGCACAAATCAATTGTTACACATTAAGTTAAAGTTAAATAATTAAATTAGTGAAATATTAACAAATTATGTATTTCATAATTTTGCTATTTTTTTTTTTTTTTAATTATTTATTTATAGACCGCATATCCTGTTGACTGCAGCGGTTTTCACGAGGGTGAGGCAAAAGTTACTACAGAATACATACACAATGAACTGTGAAGACTAAGTGATGGGGGTATCTAACTTTCTAATATAAACTAAATTTTCTGTGGTATGAGAGGAGGATTTTAATTGTACTTAGTTATAGTTTTAATCTTACGTTCTAATTAATTTAATTAGTGTAATGTAAATAGTAATAAAAAAATAAAAACAAAAATTATTTAAAAACATCTGAGCTATTTTATTATCTATTTAAAGGAAACGTCAATCTTAATCTTCGTCGCATCATGAGAGTGTTGTGTTCTGACTTAAAACAATATTTAACACCCAATTGTCATTTAGAACTTATGACGTTTTCGATTGGTAAATCTGGATTCAATCTAGATTTAATCTCGAACTGTCAAATTTTGTTGTACAATCGAACGTTTTTAGAGTAATCTGGAAATTTTGTAGTTGTGTTCGTTGATAATAAAATCACAGTTTAACTGCTGAGGCACATAAAACAGCTGTTTATTCCAGTGTAATGTTGCAAGATATCTAGAGTGTTTCAAATTAATCTCGAGTATTTTACATTACTCTTTGAAAATGCATATATCGAATAAAATCACACTTCAACTGCTGAGGCACATAAAACAGTTGTTTATTCCAGTGTAATGTTGCAAGATATCTAGAGTGTTTCAAATTAATCTCGAGTATTTTACATTACTCTTTGAAAATGCATATATCGAATAAAATCACACTTCAACTGCTGAGGCACATAAAACAGTTGTTTATTCCAGTGTAATGTTGCAAGATATCTAGAGTGTTTCAAATTAATCTCGAGTATTTTACATTACTCTTTGAAAATGCATATGTCTAATAAAATCACACTTCAACTGCTGAGGCACATAAAACAGCTGTTAATTCCAATGTAATGTTGCAAGATATCTAGAGTGTTTCAAATTAATCTCGAGTATTTTACATTAATCTTGAGTGTATAGATTTAATAATAGAAAATAAAAATTACACTTAAAGTGAATGTCGATTGAAAAAGTTAACCCAGATTTATCAATCGAATACCTGCAATTACCCATAAAATAATGACTCGGAAATGTAAATGTAAATAGTTTGTGCACAATTTTTACAGGCAGGCAGAATATATCACTAAAAAAATTTTTCAGAATTACTACCCGAACGGCCACGTAACACATAGCGAAGGCATGGAATGAATTAGGTCTAATCAAGCGTATGCCATCTGAGAGTTTAATGGAAATCATTTACGGCCTTGTGACAGTCTTTTAGGATTTAATATTTGCACATAAAATAGATTTAAAGAATTTTAAAAAGTCAATATAAATAGCTTTCTTTGTGTCACTTAGTTTCATGGATTGAAGAAATTTTTATAAGAGCCTCAAGCCTTATATGACCATTAGGTTTAAACGTAAAATTTCAAATCTGGTAAAACTTTAGATATTGTGTGAAGCAATATGTACAGATCTATGTGATTTACAATATTTTATATTTATCGGAAAATCATTTACTTTCATCTTTAAGTTGAAACTTAAACTAAAACATGCTGTTGGTCCTAATATAATATATATTGTGTTATTATATGATTTAATACTCAATAAAACGAAAACATGAGAAAAATTAATTGTGAATTAAAGTACATTGGAGGTAATAAGTTAAAAATTATAATAAAAAAATAAAATTTACATAATTATCATTTGGGGGTACAAGCCAGAATGATGTATAAAACTGTCGAGACAATGATTAACTCCATTGACAGCTAACGAACTCAGCTACAGAGAGCACATGCATTTCTTAATTAGATTTCTTCCCTACTAATCACATCTCTAACTGATACTTCCAGTGGTCAATGTGTGACAACGATTATATGTAGTTTTCATTTTGTAGATTTCACTTAGAAAGTCGTTTGGTCTTAAGTCAGAATTAATTTCCAAGTTTTCAGATTACTTATTAAGTATTGAAATATTTGCTATGAAGTTATCAAGAGTTATTTTTATTTTCTTTATTATATCTGATATCAGAAATGTCTACAATATTATAACTCCAAGAGTGTTTTCAAAGGATTGTATATTGATTGATTACACAATGTATTTTTGTTTCCTGGTTAGTTTAGGTTGGAGTGGCGGCCTTGTATCCAAAAATCACATTTGAGCTCAAATAATGGCCCTTTGTGGTGCCACAGCATTGAGTTAGGTCGCCTGATGCAAAGACAAAAATCTTTCCTCATATAAGACCCCGTGTAACTTAAAAGAAATATTAGCAATACAAATAAGTATTGGTTCTTCTAATGAAATGTTTATAGATTCTATTGCTTACTTGTAATATTAAAAAATTATTAAATAAAAATCTAAAGAGAGTTTTTAAAATAAAAAAGGAGAATGTATATTATTAATATTTTTTATATATTATTATTACATAGATTTCATTATTGTTTATTTTTTTATATTAAATATTTTTATATGAGTTACATACTATATAATATATATATTGTGGATATATTAAATTAATCAAGAAATACTAATATAAGAAAGAATTAATATGTAGGTTTCATTTTCAAACATTTTTTTAACTATTGCAAAAAGGACACTTAAAAAACCTAGGCCTGTTAATGTTAATAATCGCTTTCATAAAATCATATTTATATAAATTGTAAAATTATATTATAAAGAAAATATATACTATTACTTAACTAACTAAAGTCCTTTTGATGATTCGAAATAATTAATATTTTATTTTTTAATATTCCTGCAAATCCAATCCATACCTTCCTGAAATCACAATAAATGAACAATTAATGATTATTAATTATTTGTTATTTATCGGTTTTGGTTACAACTTACTTTTATGCCTGAGTTATTGGCCGCTGAGCACCCCTGAATTTGCCAAGTTCGCTCCTGCAAACGCACCAATTCAATCTTTTCGGCTACTTCAGCTGATGACATTGCGTCGGGTAAATCTTGTTTGTTTGCAAACACAAGCAGTGGTACCTGTTTAAGTCGGTTGTCCATTAATAGTTCAAAGAGTTCACTGCCTGTTTCAGATAAACGCTTTCTATCGGTGCAATCAATTACATAAATCTGGAAAAACGAATTATAAAATTCAAGTTATAATTTCTAGTTTTTAATTTTATTTATTATATTTTATTTTATTTTATTTTATTTTAAATAGATTTGTTTATTTACCAAGATATCAGTGTTGGCAAAATAGTTTTTCCAATATGGACGTATTTTCCATTGGCCACCAATATCCCACACGTTGAGCTTAAAACCGTCTGCTGCCACCGACTTGATATTGAAGCCAGCGGTTGGTGTTATCTATAAATGAAATTATTTAATAATTTAGTTGTTATCTAGTTTGAATATTATAGTTGAAAATTTACTGTTGTTATATCTTCAGAGGCTAGCTGTTTCAAAATTGTTGTTTTACCAGCATTGTCCAAACCAAGTAGTAATATTCTCGCTTCCTTGTCTGGGGTAGAACGTAATTTTCGTAAAAGCGATAACAGACCCTTAAAAAATTTTCACAATAAACTTTGTAGTAAGTCATATTTAATAAATATATGTGTAAAAAGCATTTTATTCAAATATATATTAACAAATAAGATATATAAATGCAAATAAATCATTTATCAGTTTTTATATAAATAAGAAATTGTTAGATTAGATTAGATATATATAAATAAGAAATTATATTTTCGAAATAATATAATTCGAGACATTCTGCCGTTTACAGATAATTTCAGTAATTTAAATAACATTTTAAATTATTAATAAGCCATGCTGATTAATAATAATTGTAATAATGTGTTTACATAAGTACAGTTCCCCGAATCATTTTGGAAGAGATGGATGCGTTAGCGCTCAAACCCCACCCTTTGCTACATGCCTGACTGCAGCCGTTGTTTCTAGTACTGCACTGGAGACATAATAGCTTTATTTACTTAATGCATTGGAATGGAATAACAGTTAAAAAGTAAATTACTAGATTTATCGTTGATATTTGATAACATATTCTAACCGGCGATCCCTACTGGATCCACTTAGGCCTATTGTTCCATTGTGAACATATTCTTTAATAAATGTTGAAATTTGACCAGATCTATATATAATTGTCAATATAGATATGTCAGGCATATTGGGTCATCTTATTAAAGATATGTTTTCGAGATGGTTAAGGAAAGTTAAATGAAAGTGTTGTCAAGGTCTTGGTAACATCGGTCATTCGCAAAATTAATGTCTTCGATTCACTATGATGTTCACTTTTATAAATATGATTCCTGATTGATGCATGGTATTTTCCTGAAATATATATGTTTTATATTTGTCAGATCACAGGATTTTGTGAGAATACAAAGTAATTGTGAATTAAGTATATTCTGTAGTGTTCTTTCATCTAATGCGTATGATTAAAATAAATAGTTAGTCAATGTTTGATTTGTCAACGGATAGGGAATCAGGAATTGGAACTAAAGTCGATTAATTGCAGCTAACCTGAGTCAATACGGCGAAATCTAGTCATTTAACTGGGGGATGAAGCCAAAGCTCAATTGGACTCAAGTTGGTGTGTGCATTAGGACATGAAAACAGATAAGTTCTTGTTACACGTAAAAGGCATTGTTTTTCACTTTGTTTGTTTGCTATGCAATATTTGAAGAAGATACTGCAACTGTGTGGAGAATTGTTAGTTGGATTCATTATAATAGGTATCTATGTAAACGTGGTGTGAATAAAAGGTCGATGGATGCAACTTGGAGAGAGGCCTCCACTGAACATGATGCCATTGGTCAGTTAAATTAGAGTTTGATGATTTTGTAGATATTAGTCTTAAAATTATATCTGCGCTAACACTACTACTTCATTTTAAGTTATCTAAGAAAAGAAGTAACGCCAGAGTATCAAAATCTTTGAATTGACGTTTAACATGATTTAGAAGTTATATTGTTCTTGTTTACAATTAATTTCGACGAATTATACTTCACTGATTTCTGGATTATATACTTAGATAATGTATAAAATTATTTTTATAATATTAGATGATTAATGTTTGAAAATATTAACAAATT